ACGTTTCCTGACTGGGACAAAAAAGAGGGAACATATTTCACCTGTTCAAGCCTCTCTCCATTGGCTACCTGTGAGACAAAGAATTGATTTTAAGGTTTTAACTTACGTGTTCAAAGCACTGCATGGACTTGCCCCCATTTATATATCAGAACTTTTTAAGTTTTTATTCTCCTCAGAGATCACTCAGATCTTCAGTCCAGTTGTTTCTGAATGTCTCGAAATCTCGTTTGAAAACCAAGGGAGACAGGTCTTTTTCAGTCTATGCTCCTAAACTTTGGAACACACTACCCTTAACGATTAGAGCTTCTCCTACATTAAGCGTTTTCAAAGCATCAATTAAAACCTATCTTTTTTTCACAGGCTTACTCATAATTAGGTTCATTTGTATGTACCTCTTAAATGCTAGGGGTTGCAGTTTTTGTGATGTACCAGATTGTGACTGCTTTTTACATTTATACAATTTTGAGTTAATGGATTGTTTATTTGTTACGTTTGTTTTCTATGTGTGTTTTGTTTTGCTTGTGAAGCACTTTGGTCAACATTTGTGTTGTTTTAAGGTGCTATATAAATAAACTTTGACCTTGACCTTGACCTTGACCTTATTCAGTGGGGATTGTCAGTAAGAGTAAACTTAGTTTCCTTGTTAGGAGCATTTTCCTGAATGCAGTTTCTCTATATAACTTTTCCCAGGCAATTAACTATTACGAGGCGGCGCTGAAGAGCGGGCAGCAGAATTTTCTGCGTTATGACTTGGCTGACCTGCTCATGAAGCTCAGACAGTACGAACGCTGTGAAAAAGTCCTGCAAGAGGCTCTCACACATGATCCTGGTGAGAAACATTGTGAAATGGGGACATCTTGCTTCAGTCACCCCTAAAATTAGATTTTTTTTATTAGTGCTTCATTCAAATTGAACTTAAAGTGCTGTTTCAAAAAAAAAATTAGTGGAGATTTGAGCTTGTTTAGATTTTGTCCGTGATGTTTTTAAGTATGATAAGGGATAAAATGTGTGTTTAAGCAATAAATAGGAATACTGCATGTCTGCTGGGTATTTTCACTTGTATTTTACACTATATTTACTATACCTTAGAAATGCTGAATTATATGTTTCAGGGTGTGTATTCGACAACATGTCACATGACTGACAAGTTAAATCAGGACTGTCAGAAAAGTCCTTTGGGTGTGTCGTGGGAGAACATGGGTGTGCACTTTTGATTAATGTTTAGAAGCTGGTTCAGCTTAATGTAATTTAAAAAAATGGTGTAATACACAGTGCAGTTGCTTTTCTTCAAGTGCGACGAGTTGCATAATTTTTTCTTTATTTTTCAGTGAATGAACTGCCGCTTCTTACTGAGGATTGTCGCTATCTTGTGCTTCTCGCCAAAGTCCAGAGCAAAGTCAATAAAAATGATGAAGCGCTACTGTCCTTACAGAGAGTGAGTTGAGTGTCTTTCTCTCTGAAACGGTGTTGTTATTGTTAGCTAAAACTATTTAAAAATTAGTTTTAGTAATTAAAGTGCCCCTATTATGGCTAATGAAAGGTTCATATTTTGGTTTCAGGAGTTCCCAACAACAGGTTGGCATGCATGCAAGGTCAAAAAACACTTTCATTGTCTTATAATATGCATTTATTTTTACCTTACTTGCTCAACGATTCATTTTCCAAAACCCCTCCTTTGTGTGACGCTAATCTGCGGTGATTGGTCGATTTAATTTCCATTTCATAATAAAAGTTACTCGTTTCAATGATTCAGAGTCGACTCTTTCTTTTGAGAGACAATAACTTTATACACGGTGCACTTTCAGATTTAAAACTTTGCAGGGTGTTTTCATTCACTTAGAGCTCTGTTACACACTGCACGAAAGGTCATTTTCAAAAATCCATAATAGGGGCACTTTAAAATAAAGCTAAAATAAACTTTTAATAGTAGATGAAAAACTTCAATTTAAAAACTTTTAGAAATGTAGTCTTTGCAAGTAACTGAAATAAATGATAAGTTTAAGTACTAAAATTAATAACAGATTTATTTTCATTTTTTTGTGTACCAATTTTTATTTTAGTCTTGATTGATTGAGTTAGTTAGTTTTATGGTAATGAGAACTGGGAGGAAAAATATGTTAAGTGTCATGAAAATATTTAAGAAAATCATTATATATTATATTATATTATTATATTAATATTGAAAATGTAATATTTTATGGAGATTTATTTATTCTACTAAATAAACTAAATATAAAAATAAAATAAATATTAAAAATATAAATATATGGAAGCTAATTAGAAACTAGAATTCAAAACAAAACCGAAAAATGAATAATTACTGAAATGGAAGCTAAAAATAAAATGGAAACGTAAAATATAAAAATAAAAGCTAATTCAAAATATCAATTAATCGTATTTTCGTATTAATAATGCTAAAAAAATACTACTCTGAAAGCATCCAAAAGCTCACCTCAAACCCACACAGCACCAATTTACATTCATAACCTCCTACATTTACTAATTTATATTTCATGTAGTATACAAAGTATATAACTAAACATATTTTAGAGGGTGAGAAAATGCTGACAGAATTTATTATTATTATTTTGTTAATTCACACTTAAGCACAGTTTACATTTGTCAACAAAGCTAATTATAAGCATTCAAGTACAGAACATTTACATTAATGCATTTAGCAGATACTTTAATCCAAAGTTACTTAAAAGCATGTGCCAAATTAATAAATGTTTTTTTTGGTTGTTCTTTTTTTTATGTGCAAGTTAATAATTTTTTTTTTTTTTTTTATGTATGTATTAGAATGCATTTAAATAAAAAATGCATGCAATTAAAATTGTGAAACTTTTTGACAGAATATAATGATTCTTTTCAAAAGCAGCAGACGTTTCAGGGTCCCCTGTGAACAGCTGTGCAAGTAAATGTGTGTGTCTGTGTGTTTGAGCAGGTGATGTTGGAACTGGCTCAGCTGTATCTTACTCTGGATGATGTCGAGGCCTGTCAGCAGCAGTGCAGTGCCATTCTGAAGAACGATCCGGTCAACGAGTCGGCTACACTGGTCAGTTTCCTTAAAGATGCTCCTCTCTCATAACCTCATACCAATGGACCAATCCTTTCATTTTCTCATTTATTTTCTCCATAGAAATTGATTGAAACAGTAGCATATAAACGTTCAAGTCAAACTTTTTCCAAAAAGTTTAATTTTTTTAAAATTCAGTTAAGATATTTTCTACACTAAAACTTGCATATTCTCCCACAGCTCTTTTGTTTTTTTCCTTTTCTTATAGCTTTACTAGGCAGATATGTGGTGAACTTCTCTTCTCTGTGTTTGTTAGATGATGGCAGATCTTATGTTCAGGAAGCAGGACTATGAACAGGCTGTATTTCACTTCCAGCAGCTCTTGGAAAGGAAACCAGGTGTGTCGTTCATCTCCTGACCTTTCAAATGATTACACCGTTGTTGCAGCAGCCCCCTCAGCTTTCCTTCCAGATACTCGTCTGTAACGCAGGGGAAACCTAAGAAACCAGGAAGCTGTAATTAACTCATTTAATCTCTTCCCCTAGACAACTACCCGACGCTGTCCCGCCTCATTGATCTGCTGCGCAGAGCCGGCAAACTGGAGGAGGTTCCAAGATTCCTCGAGATGGCAGAGAAACACTCGTCGAGGGCCAAGTTTGAGCCTGGATACAACTACTGCAAAGGGCTCTACCTGTGGTATGACTATAAAACATGAAATAGAGGGTTATGCTTTATGATGGTAATATAAGGTTTTGTGAACCCCCGCGGGGTTCATTAGTTTATGAAAGCTAATATACTAAATCATATAATTTGTTTTTTTTCATTATGAATTAATTTTAATTTTACAGTCAAAATAATACACTTCATAAACGAGTTACATTTTATTTGCATACCTTTGTGTCATGTGACCATTAACTGACTTCAGAAAACCATGAACATGCGAAAAGTATTGAAATATTAACTTAAAATTTCAGGGGTTAGTAAATATTTTATGTCAAAGGGGTCAGTAATATATTCATTTTTAAAGAAAATAATATATTTTTTAAAGAAGTTACATAAATTCTTCAATAGTGACCATAAAGACCTTTACATTGTTACAAAAAATGTATCAGTTATTATATATTCACAGCATACTATATATATATATATATATATATATATATATTATATATATTAGAGCTGTCAAACGATTAATCACGATTAATCACATGCAAAATAAGTTTGTTTACATAATATATGTGTGTGTACTGTGTATATTTATTATGTATATATAAATGCACACACATGCACGTATATATTTAAGACGAATATGTTATGTTTATATATTAAATATATTTATATATAATATACATTATATAAATATATACATGTAAATATTTTCAAAATATAGCCTATACATGCATGTGTATTTATATATACATTATAAATGTACACACACACATTATGTAAACAAAAACTTTTATTTTGCATGCATTTTTTGCATTAATCGCGATTAATCATTTGATAGCATTAATATATATATTATATATATATGTTTCAAGCTGTTCAAAATGGGAAATTGATTAATTATTTTATTCAGATATATGCATTAAATAATTCAAAAGTGACAGTAAAGACATTTATAATGTTGCAAAACATTTTATATTTCAAATAAATGCTGTTCTTTTGGACTTTCCATGTAACAAAGAATCCTTTATCCTTTAAAAACTAAAATTAAAAATCAATTGTTCAAATTATCGTGATTTCCACAAAAATAATAAGCAGCACAACTTTTTTGATAATAATAATGAATGTTTTGAGCAGCAAATCAGCATATTAGAATGATTTCTGAAGAATCGTGGAACATTTTAGCATTTTGAAATGTATTCATATAGAAAACAGTTATTTTGTAAAATTGTAAAAAATGTCACAGTATTACTGACAACATCGTTTGCAAATTATTTCTCTGGAATACTTGATTGTGATTAGTCATATGCATATGATAAATGTATGACATCAGTCTTAGCTTTTGATTGCTGAATTGAATGCAATAAGGACATGAATGTTGATCTGCTTCTCAAAGGTACACTGGTGAACCTAACGATGGGTTACGTCACTTTAACAAAGCCAGGAAGGACAACGACTGGGGCCAGAACGCAGTGTACAACATGATTGAGATTTGTCTCAACCCTGACAATGAGACCATAGGAGGAGAGGTGTTTGAGAACCTGGATGGAGACGTGGGGTGTGTCCTCAAGATGGATCCCATTAGTGTCCTTTATTCTGTATATGCTGTATTGCACACATGCACTTTCACAAATGATGCATTTCATTTGTTTGTGTTCAGAAACTCTACAGAGAAGCAGGAGTCGGAGCAGCTGGCCGTGAGAACAGCGGAGAAGCTCTTAAAGGAGCTGAAGCCACAAACCCCAGCGGGACACGTACAGCTGCGCATCCTGGAGAACTACTGCTATCTGGCCACCAAACAGAAAGCCAATGTGGAAAGAGCTCTCAACGTGTTCATTGAGATCGCAAACAGTGAGGTGTGTGGACATCACATGATGGATATGTTAAATACACACACACCTACACATGCACACCGCTTTTGTATATGCCTGAATCACTCCTTCAAGACAAATTTAGATAGGTTAGGTTGTTTGCACATGACGTCACTGATGACGCGCGCAGTGCAGCTGGAGGGCAGGAAGTGATTTTTCTCCATAGAAATCACTAGCAGAAACTCAAAATGCCAGTGTTTTGCGTTGTTTATGGATGCTTAAATTGGCCAAACCAAGAAACCACAAGAAGCTTTTATCGTGCACGAAAATGTGTTGTTCATAAGTGGGGGAAAGTCAAGAAATTGATTGAAAAATGCTGGAAAAAGTGGCTTGTAAACCTGTGTCTGTGGTCGGGAGGAGCGAAGCTCGTGTGATAATGCTCGTGCATGCAAATGGTTATTATAGGATATAATAATATATTAAGATATTTATAAAGATATAAATAGATTGGGCTGCCACCTCTCAAGCAGTGTGACAGTCAGAATTCACTCAGTGCTAAACACCACACGTAGACACGTAAATAAGATATTATTTGCAGTTCAGAGAG